TTATGTAATTTATTTGTTAAAGGTTGAACATAAGAGGTTATACCTGACCTTACCTGATTTTACTATGTTTTTATATTTAATCTTTATTTGCTATCATGTCTGTTTGATACAAGCTGGTTTCACCAACACGCATATTTAATGCACACACACACATTTTTATCCACTTGAATAATTGTGAAGAATAAAAGTTTAGATTTCTGTGAAATCACGCATTGACTTAATCAGCAATTATCTGCTGCACAACTCCTTTTTTCTTGCAGTAGCAACAGTATTGTGTTTTTTAATTCATTTTTTTAAAATACTGTATATGCTGATATTCTCCATATGCCRTCATTAATATTTCTATTTCCAGCTTGAGAAATGGACTTCCGGTCTTATTTTCTCCCGTGTCAATGGTAAATTGTGTTATCTGACTTCCATCGATGAGGGCTTCGTGCTCCAACTTAACTCAGGGGTAACTTGACTCAGAATTAAGTTACCCAGTTGAYATCACCTGTTCTGAAACYGAAAATCCCGAGTATCACATGATGGGGTAAGTTGACTCAGAGTGTCTGTGTTAACCCAGGGTTTGTTAAGCCTGCTTTCTGAAACAGGGCCCAGGTGTCAAAAATAAAAACAGAGGTTAAAAAAGGTTGTCCCTGTTAAAGCTGGGCTTTAAGCGTTGGAAACTAGCTAACAGCCTTAAATTATAATAAATTTTAAAATGCATTAATTGGAAGACATCACTATACACACAGGCACATGCGCAGTGAGGATGGCGAGAGCAGGAGTAAGATTTCTTCTACAACACTATAAAGTAAAAACAATAACAATAAAACCTGCAGGCTTCATTAAACTTGATAAATACAATTGAYTTTTAGTTTCTCAAACCATTTTTTTAAGGTCCATGAGTTGGAAATCTGACAAAACAAAAACTCACAATAATAAATATTGCTGAATCAATCAATAATGACAGTAAATAAATTTACCTACAAAATTAATCAAAGCATCCATATAATGCACAACTCTGTGTATTCTATTGGCAATATATACTCTCCATGTGTATATCTGCTTTCCAAGACGTACTATGCAGATGGAAATGTCKTATTAGATGCAATCTGAGATAATCCTAATGATGTTAAAAAAACTGATCACATCTAATCCTTGTGGTCCCTAATCCTGGTCCTGGAATGCCACTATCCTGCATGTTTTAGTTATTTCCCAGCTTTTCAACRGGTCTTCGTGTTGTTCAGAATCTTGTTTATCTTTCACTCCTTTAAAAAACTTGTGTAAAAATAGCAAAACATCTATAACTGTACTGAGCATCACCGGAATCGAGTTGAAATATAAAATATAATGTTTTAACCTGACAGTAGAGAAAATAAGAGTCTCACATGGAAAACATCATGTTAGTTTTTATACTAAAGCACACTGATTTAATTTTCTTCTAAGAGGATGTATTATTATTATT